GTGCACCTTCAACCCTACACCCTAAAACCCTAAACCCTGAACCCTAAATCCTGAACCCTAAACCCTAAACCCTAAACCCTGAACCCTAAACCCCTAAACCCTGAACCCTGAACCCTTGAACCCTAAACCCTGAACCCTCAACCCTAAACCCTAAACCCTGAACCCTAAACCTTGAAGCCTAAACCCTGAAACCCTGAACCCTGAACCCTGCACCCTTGAACCCTAAACCCTAAACCCTAAACCCTGAACCCTGAACCTTATAACCTACACACACACGTTCCACGCACGCGTGCACCTCGACAACCTGCACCTCCACACTCCCACACTAACATCACACACGCCCATGCGCTACAAGCGCCAGCCCCTATTTTCACACTCCAACACTAACACCACCCATTCCCACATCGACCGCCCGGCACCCCGTACTTTCACACTCCAACAGTTTGTATCCTACACGCACGCACCCTGCATGTTTAAACGCTACACACCCACGTCTGCGCGTCCCACACCTCCGTGCCTAACTCCGCCATTTTTGTGTTCAACTTCAACCACCCGTACTACTGCCTGCACATACATGCGCTCCTCACGCCCGTAACCTATGCGCTACCTGCGGCCACATCCACCACACACCACAGCACCCTATCCCTCTACACATACCCCACCCCGCACCCTACGCGCTGCATCCCGTACGCTCAACCCGCCACGCACACATACCAAGCGCGCAGCTATGGCACCCGCACGCACATATGCTACCCGTGTTCCACTCGGCCATTGCTGACCCCGCACTCGCTCACCTCTGACGCATGGGCCCCACCGTTCCTACACATTACCACACCGCGCTACGCAGTCCTGACATTTACGCCACGCGCCCCGCCACAGGCACACCCATTCCATAAACCCCACCATGGCAGCCCTACACCGCAACCACCCGTGATCTACGTGCTTCACACACACCACCCTGCAACATACATCGTTCACTCCTACCACGTGCGGACCCACGTTCCTACACCTTGTACCCGGCGCCTCTGGATTACTGCACCACGCCATACTCACACCTCCATTCCCGCACGAGCCACGCGTCGTACATACTATCACAACCTCCGAGTCTCCCATACACCGCACCTTAGTTCCTGGGCTCCTACACATACCGCACGTGGTGCGCGCACCAACAACCGCTGCGTCCTCAGGTCTTACCACAGACCCCGGTCCTACGCGCCTAAGCCCCGCGCAGGTCCCACGGTGCTAGCGGCATGCCGTGCCCACGCTGCATCACACGCATACGTTTAATATCACAAGTCCTGAGGCTCTAGGTGCACAACAGGCCGCGCTGCCATTTACCATCACTGTAGGTCCTAAGCTGCACGCCCACACTCAGGTCTCCCCTGGCCACACCCACATCCCTAAGTTCACAAAACGCACACTCTTCACCGCCACACACCATAGGCGGCACATTCAAGCACCCTGCGTTCTGCACCCACCCCACCTTACATTCGGACCCCACGCCAAACCTGAGGTCCCACGGTCCACGCTACATCCTAGATGCTACACCCCACACACCGTCGATCTTAGGCCCGACACACGCCCTAGTTCCAGATCTCACACACCCTTCCACCTTAAGCTGCCACACTTAGGTCCTACCCCGGGATACCTGGCCCGCATACTGTCCACCGTGTGTTGGACATTGTGAACCCTCCCACTGCACACTTTTCTGCGCGGCCACCCTGGACCCTTGCACGCGGTTGTTTGGTTTCGTGCCGCCTGAGGCCCCATGGATATGGCTGTTCTCCTGCGCTGTGCGCTGCGCGCACACAGCGCCCGTGCGCCCCGGCGTTTCGCGTATACCGGTGCACCCGTGCGCTATTCATGCTGCGCGGCGTGTACTATTTTTTCTATTTGTTCTGGTCTTTCTTTCTTCTTTTTTTTTGTTTTCTCCGCTGTTTTTACTTTTTTATTATTACTTACGCGGGCGACATTGTTCATGTGTGCACGACAGCGCGAGCGTCTTCTCTATTTTGTGTAGACAACGTTGTTATAAGTTTGTAGGAATATTTTGTTTTGCACCTCTTCTTTCGCGTCTTTTTCGATGTTTCACGAGCAGGTGTTTCCGCTGACACATTCGTGCAGTAACTTGGCGACATGTATATATATTTGCGTAATTTATTCATTAACAATTTATTAGGACAGCATATATATTTGTAGGTTCTATGTTCCATGCCGCTGTTGCTTTTCGTTGACTCGGTTTTATTCTTGTTCTTATTTGTGTTAGGAGAATTATTTAGCATACGCTTGAGTTGTGCTTTTTGGGTGAGTACGTCTTTTTGCGAGCTACTCCGGATTGTTCTTTGCTGTGGCAGCAACACCTCAGACATTTGTGCGCAGTAATATTTGTATACGAACAATTCCTCCGTAGTGTGTATTTGACCCACCGCACCCTTTAATTGTGTAAGCTCTCGTAATATGTTACAGCTATCCTTGCATATCCATGTTTTGTGGAAAGTCTTACAGTTAGTGTTGTATTGTACTTCTCACTGCGTGACATGTTGCGAGTGAAGGATATAGCAGGACAGTATATATCATACACGAACCACAGCCGTGGCACGCGGCTGGCAGGAAACCGGATTAAGTATCATGAATAATGATACCTCTGTATATGGACAGTACGTCTACTTTATTAATGTATTAGTTCATGCTGCAGAGATACTTGTGACCGTACGTGAATAGTAGAATGCATCGGTACCTGACGGATTTAATCACAGATTGGTTAAAGAGAAGGAAAAGTTCACAGCAGGCAGATTTGAATGTAAGTCATATCATAAATGCGTGCGGTATACAGGAATGCCCGTAGACTTCGCCGGGCATGGCGGTATTGAGTGCATAGAAATATATAAACTGCAGGAGTATATGTGCACATTGATCTCCGCATCCTCTTTAATCTGCAGAGAGGGATATGGGCAGACATGGGCGATATGTTCCAAGAATTCGTAGGACATATGAATAATGAAGAGGACCCTACCTTAGACGTGATATGCACGATGGGCAGAGCAACTAACGAAATTACGCAGGCACAAATGCCATTATGCACGAACATTGTGCGCGTCATATCTTATATGGAAGAGAGATTAAATAGTTCAGAAAGGCAAAGCAGGGAACAAGAAACTGACAGAGAGGTGAAAAAGACCATGCGGTGTATAATAGGGAAAGTGAATCTGATGGCACTACGGGAGGAGTATTGCGGGGCGACACGCATGTGGGCATATATAACGGAAAAGGCGCAAGAGCTGGCTACGGCCTTGGACCCGGAGGGAGGCAGACGCAGTAACCAGTGTCATTCGTGGGATATAAGTCGTTTGAGCCTCGGTGGAAGGGATATAGAACAAGAAATTAGAACGTGGATATCGAAGAGTGCGCTTTACGAGGGTATGGGGTATTCTGGACTGTGTACGACAGGACAGGGAGCTAGCGGCACCGTACAATATAAGACTAAGCAGGAGATAACACGAAGCATAGTACAACGCACGCAGCAATTGCGCGAGAAAGTTCAGGAAATTGTAACGAAGGTGGAGAAGGAAACGGCAGACCTAATACCTTCCACGGAACAATCGAATTCACACGGCCCCAACACACAAGCAGCACATCCAAAGGCTGCAGCATCGCCGGTAACCACACCATCAAAGGAAACGTCAGGTAAGGACCGATGGGAGAAAGCACGAATACGGCCCGTATCAATATACGGCAGCTACGAATAAGAACCGTATGGCCCATATGGATGCTGCCGCCACAACAACGCACGGCCACAACTACGCACACGCGTGAACAAAACAACACGCACCCACGGCGGAACACCACCCCCTCGGTGAGCCCAGCACAGCGGCGTCCACGACGGCAGTGGTAGCGACGACGACTATGTAGCTACCAGTATGTAGCGGTAGCGGCCACTGTGTAGCGGCGACGAGTGCGGCGGCCACGACGGCATTGGTAGCGGTTGCGGCGGCGACGCGTGATGGAGCGCCAGCCACGGCACCGGAGACGAGATGACGGAGCGTGACGGCGACAACACATACAAGTGTACTGCTATCACCTCCGTCCACCGAGTACGCAGTCCACCTCACCGTACGCTTGCTGTCGCCTGACCCAGGCCACCGAGTACGCAGTCCACCGAGTCCATCTCGACCCACTGCATCGAGCCGGACCGTACCCTGCCGCTACATGACCCAACCGTCTCGCGCCTTCTTTCTGTACCACTTGTATCCTTTTTTTTTTTTATCATCTTTCGCATCCATCTTTCTACCACCTTTGTTCCGTTGTCCTCATTGCAGCAACGAAGCAGGACGCACGCACACCACAAGCCGACAAACCTGCGGCTACCAAACCAGCAACCACAAAACCGGTAACAGGGGGAGGAGGAGACAAGAACGGGGCGAAGCCCTCGGCACCATCAGCAGCAGGCACATCAGGAACAGGAACATCTTCCGGACAACCACGATCAGATTCCTCGGCTGGGGAAGGACAGCCGGCCGCAGCAGGATCAGGAGCAGGCGGGCAAGGACCAGGTCAAGCACCAGGACCGGGACAACAACCCCCACCACCTCCACCACCACCAGAACCGGCACGTCCTGCAGCACCTAAAGGGGAACAGGGAGCAGCATCCAGTACAGGAGGATCCACAACACCCACAAACAAGTCAGGAGCGGAGGCGCAGACGCCACAGGCCACTGTTACCAATAACGAGAAAGGAGAGACTCAAGGTAAGAAAGCTGAATGTACCAAGCATGTGACCGAGTCCCACGCAGGGCAATCAGGCCGCGGGCAATATGCTGATCCCATTGATGACTCCAGAGGAGGTACAGGTGGCTCCTCAGTATCTTTCACTGTTGCCGTCACCACGCCCGAATGTTCAGACACAGGTAACATTGTTTCACATGAGCATACTACTGAGCTTTCACACTGTGTCAGCGTACGCCGCGTGTACTATTAAACGAAGAACAAAAAAGAGAGAGAAAAAAAAAAACAAAAACAAGAAACAACAATTTCCGGAGAGAGAGGGAGAGACAACACGGCGCGAGAGAAACCAAACGTCGAATGAGAGTGCGCGGCAGCGCGATCGGCCAAGCGACGGGTCGGCCGCGCGATGTACACGTAGACGTCGAAGCAGACAGACAGACACACACTGTCTGTGTGTTGTGTGTGTGTTGTGTGTGGGAGAGACAGAGAGAGTCTTTTCCCGGGGTGGCACCAGCCAACCACCGTTCGCACCGGGCCCCCATACCCTCGTGAACCATGCCGCCGTCCGTCTCTTGCCCCGTGGCACCAATGGTGCCAACCGTGTGGGCATGCACCGTAGAAAACTTCAGTTTCATGACATTCTTTCTTTCACCTGACCTTGATCTTACAGGTGGCAGTGCTACAGAGCACACGACATCTAAGGACGGCCACGGTTCATCAGCGGTTGCAGGAGCAGCACCCGCCGCACCGGAATCCCAGCCACTTACCCCTGTCTCCACTATGGGGCAGGATCCAGACAAGGGTTCGACGCCGGATGTGGTTACTACAATATCATCATCAACATCAGGGGCACCACCAACACAGACAGATCCCGTAGATGCAGTACCAGGTTCACAAGCACCGGTACATTCTGTGGACGACAGCACTGCGGAACCCGCTGGTCAGGGCGTCGCCGTCGGTAACGATGACCCCCCTCCTCTCAATCCACCCAAACCAAAACCGAATCCGAACCCAGATCAATCGGGTAGTAGTGGCAGCGGCGGCGGCGGCCAACCGCCCGCAGCAGGTACTGCAGGTGGAAGTGGCGGAGGTGGGGGAGGAAGTGGCATTTCCTCATCCTCAGGACCCGGTTCTAACGGTGACCAAAACCCTGCTTCCTCCGGTCCTGGCTCCACCGGCGTTGCGCAATCAGGTTCCTCCGGTACCACACCACACGAGCCATCCAGTGGGACAGTTAGTCCATCAGGTGGTACATCGGGTCCAGCAGCAGGACCCCCTACTACACTACCACCTCCGACCCCTCCATCGAAACCCTTCGACCCCAAGGATCTTGTCCCCTATACCCCTGCGATCATTCCCGCGGTGGTTGGTATTGGGCTCATTGCCTTTTTCCTCTGGAAGGTAAGTATATACGACAATGCGGGCATGCCGCATGTGCCGGATGTTTAGACCGCAGAACATCCCAACCGGCTCCCATATATGATCTTTCTAACCAATATGCCCCTACACGCGCGTTCATTCCTTTTATCCTACCGTCCTCACCCTCCTCTTTACCCCCTTGTTCTGTGCTTAGTACTTTGCGTACCTCGCCAAACGACGACGAACGTATCGCACCGTTCGTGACGTGCCGTCACCGCCACTCGACGAAGCCATTCTAGACCATCTACAACGCGGCGAACTGCCACCACCCGATTACGGCTACACGATGAGTAGGGATAGGCCACCTGCGTCTGCTGCCGAACGCCGCGGACGACGTCAACCACGCGTGAATCGCCGCACGATCATCGACCTACATCTAGAAGTGCTCAACGAATGTGACGCGGCCGAATGGGAAAGCGTCAAAGACGACTATTTGCAAATACTCGTTGAAGAGTTTATGGGGGACGGCCATGGGCATAGTAGTTCCCCGGCTTCTTCTTCGAACCGGGATTCACCAACCAAGGATTCGACAACCCTGGATTCATGTCCACTTAACGAAGATGACCCCGATCCATGGAGTTGTATGGAAACCATACAGTTAGAACGGGACAGTTCTCCACCGAATGAACACGATCCATGGAGTTGTATGGACACCATACAGTTAGATTCAGAACAGAGTCGTGCTCATTCCGACCACGGTGACGCGACGGCGGCGTGCACTAATTGGATTAACTGGATTGACCGCAACAAGCACCTTTTGCGGGAGTGCACGGCACAGGCATGGTTTTTGCAATTAAAAGCGGATTGGAAACAATACCTGCGCGAGCACATGGTGGCAGAGGAGGACAACGGAGTATCCGGGCAGCGTGAACTCGGTGAATCGGCAACCCCGCAGATAAACAAGCTTGACGCATGGAAAGAATGGGTAGCGCAACAACATCGGCAAATGAGTGTACATAGGAAGCAGGAGTGGTGTAAACATTTGTTGAATAATGTAGAGGAGGCGACAGTATCGCAAAAAGGCGAAGTACCACGAGTAGAAAAACACTTAGAAGTGGACAAAGTAATGGGCACAGAACACATGCTACGAGTGACGCATGTACCGCGCACGCAACTGCATACGCAACCTTACATGCAAAAACGGTTAACCGCTAAAACATGGATACTCATCCTGGCATTAGTCATAGAACAGTGCGAGCTCGAATGTCGTTTGCAGCAGACGGAGTTACATGTGGATGCCCTATTGCAACAGTGTTCACATTAGGATGACGGGGCATATGCATGCGACATAACGCATGCTGACCGTAGACCACTTTTATTTCATTATGTGATACACATAATATATTTCGGGTTTACATTATTCTATACCTTCCTTTTTTTTTTTCTGCTCTCTTCTGCTTACTTGTGCTGCCTTTTGCCTTGTTTTGTTCTTTTTCTCTGTAGTCAACTTCTTTTAACATGACCATAGGAACAGGGTGCTACAGGTCCAATGCATATAAAATGTAGATTTAAATGAATAATATCAAGGGGTAGTATTCTCCTTTATGTGCAGTTCATTATTAAAAGCTGAGCAAGTGCATTCTACGGGTATAGTGCAGCACAAATATAGCATGCGCATACGCATTCCAGTATAAGGAGCGATTGTCTCTCTGAGCACACGCAGGCCGCGCAAACCGCATTGTAGCCGAGTAACGCGACCGCGTGTAAGAAGGGGTTCTGCGAAGTAGCCGAGTGCATGAACGAGGAGATTGTCTCTCCGAGCACACGCGTCGACCGCCGTAGCCGCGTGTAAGAAGGTACACATTGTCTCTCCGAGCAAACGAGGCAGCGTAAAGCACTGTCGTCGAGTGTACGAAAGGAGGAGAGATTGCCTCTCCGAGCAAACGCGGCCGGGTAAAGCACATTGTCGACGAGGTAGCCGACTGTCACAACCAGCAGATTGTCTCTCCGAGCAAACTCGTCGAGTAACGCGGCCGCGTACACCGCATTGTAGCCGAGTGTAAGAACGGAGGAGAGATGGTCTCTCCGAGCACACGCGTCGAGCAACGCGGCCGGGTAAACGCGCATTGTGGCCACGTGCAACACCGATTCGACGTAGTGGCCGAGTGTAAGAAAGGAGGGAGAGATTGTCTGTCCGAGCAACCGCGTCGACCGCCGTAGCCGCGTGTAAGCACGATTCAACGAAGTAGCCGAGTGTAAGACGCATTCGACGAAGTGGCCGAGTAAGGGGTTCGAGGGAAGGATTTCCATTGAGGGATTCAGTGAGGGAGCAACGAGCAGCGGGGGGGACGGAGGAAGGAACACACATATTATGTGGGCAGGCGAACCAGGGCGACAACGACGGCAACGACGGCAACGACGGCAACGACGGCAACGACGGGAGCACAAGTTGATGTTGTTGTCGCTACTGCGGTTTTAGTGTACAAGGGGTTTAGTGTACGCAGAGAGATGGTGTGTGAAGGCGTTTAGTGGAGAAGGGGTGTTGTTTTTAAGGGGTGTATTCATGACGGTGTGTAGTATATTCCTATTTTTTCCTGTCTTTTTTTTTTCGTTCTTTTTTTTTTTTTTCCTTTTTTTACTTTATGTTTATCTGTCTGTTAGTACTATGTCCAATTCATGGTGGAATACTAGAATCAGCGGCTACGTGTCCAACGGCATATTAACAACCTACTGTGTGCATATGTTCTAAGTCCGCATACGGTGAAGACTGAATATATGCAATATTAACATATGTACGCACGTATTGGGTTAGTATGACGTCATGGTAATATCAGCAGAAGTGGAATTATATATGAGCATAGCAATAATATCATGGCTGAAAAATTGGTAGAAGTCTTGGTGGAGTATGTACAACAGAGACAAATAGCATCTGATAAGGGAGAAGGCCAAGCAAGGAAGAGTGAATTCAGTGTAAGTGATTATACAGAGCGACTAGGATAATTCAGTGTATAGTGGTCATTGTATACAAAGAGAAGTCTAAAATTTATTTTGGGAGCACGATGAGTATTCATGCATTATAAAGTCATGTTGCTCATTCACCACAGTGAACCATATATGTCAGGAGAATAGCATTGATTCTGTGTTAGGAACAGTCAGGAAAGGCACAGGTACACAGTGTGTATATTTGTGGACATGTGTTGTTATATTTACAGGATATGCTCTGGGACGACATAGAAAAACTATTCACGGAGCTGACTGCTACATTGAGAGTCAAGACTACTATAGAAAATGCGGTGTGCCAGGCACTCTATGGGAAAGCCAAGGAGTCTGTAGTACAGAGGCTGATATGCCGGTACATCGTGAAAATATTTGTATACATGGATGGCACGGCAGAAGTAGTCACGGGTGGGACAAAACTAAATGCCGAGCAGAAGAGCTGGAGGGACTATTTCAAATGTGTGGTAGGGAATGTGACATTAATAAAGTTATTTGAGAAGAACTGTGCAGCAAAGGACATTATAAATAAGGTGTCCAGGCACATGAGTACAATAAGTAAAGCACTTGCGGGGCACACTAATAGCCAACAATGTCAGGGCCTTGATTATGATAGCCTGAGCATTGGCACGAAGTTTGTGGCCGGAACGATGGGTGAATGGATAAATAGGTGGAGACTAACATCCGTTGGAGGGTTAGGTGGGTCCCGAGCACAGACCTCCTGTGCTGCACCAACAAGTATAACGAAGGCGAGAGCGAAGACAGATAGTGAAGACGCGCATGTAGTGAAACTGTTCCAGGACGGCACTGCAAGAGAGGTAGCGGGATTAATACACAAAGAGGCGAAAATAACGGAATCCCAGAGAAGAAGAATAATGCAGGCAGCGAAGGATAAAGGAACAGCGACCAGTGTACTGGACGAGGTAATGCGTCAAATAGAAACCAAGCACCACGGCGACGGAGGGAACATTCAGGTGCCAGGTAAGGACGGGGAAACAAGCACAGAGCAGTGCGACGGGAACGGATAAAGTAGGAAGGGATGAAAACACAAGACGAGGAGAACGCAACACCATATCAAAAGACCTTCCTGGATTCTAGGTCCCTGAGCACAACATAACCTACGCATTCCCTACAACTTTTTGCCATTGTTTACAGATCCTAGCGCCTCCATACACGCAACCGGCACACAACCACAGGGACCGAAAGGTAAGGACCGATGGGAGAAAGCACCAATACGACCCGCTACGTAACGTATTGCTCAATATGGATGCCGCCACAAAACCACGCACGCGCGGCGAGAACAGCAAACGACTTCGCTGACGTGTGCAGTCACGACGGGAGCGGCGTCACTGTGGTGCGGCCACGAGTGTAGACGAGGTGTGCGCGGCGGAACCGCATGGAGCGGTGTCGAAGGCCGGAGACGGACGACATGACGGCCACAAATATAAGTGTACTGCTATCATCCGTCCACACAGTTCAACTGACCGTGCGCTTGCTGCCGCGTCACCGTGTCCACCGAGTGCACCGCGACCCATGCATCGACCCACTGCATCGAGCCGGACCGTACCCGGCCGCTACCTGACCCCACCGTCTCGCGCCCCTTCTTTCTGTCTACCACTTGTGTCCCTTTTTTTTTTTTATCATCGTTCTACCATGTTTCTTGGGTTCCCCATCTTAGGTAAACCAAGTGCAGGACGCGAACTCGGGGATCCCGCAGGAGGCAGGTCATTGCCGCCATCGCAACCACAAGCACCGGCATCTGCAGTATTACCAGCAAGACCACAGGCACCTCCTCCACCGTCACCACCTCAGGACCCGACTACTCAGGGCGGCAAGGAAACGCACAGTACAGATAGGTGCTCAAAGCCAGCACAGTCTGCCACAGTCGTAAATGCAGGCGAAGGTCTCGCCGGTGCTAAATCCATTACCACTATCACTTTTGGCACGAGTTCCGGAACTCATGATGACTGTGACCAGAAGTCCAAAGACACAGAAGCAGGTATTGTCCTGAGTGCATATCCACAACAAAAACACAGAGAACACAAAACACACATACAACTTTTCCGGAGAGAGGGAGAGAGAACACGGAGAGCGAGAGAAACCAAACGTCGAATGAGAATGAGCGCGACGCAGAGCGGCAGAGTGATGGGTCGGGCGCGGGGGAGCGTAAGCCGCCGCGGGTTGGCCGCTGGATGTAGCGGCCGGTAGAGCGACGTATAGATGTCGACACACACACTGTCTGTGTTGTGTGTGTTGTGTGGGAGACAGAGAGAGTCTTTTCCCGGGGTGGCACCCTGCCCCCGGGACCGCGTCCGTCTGCTTCCCCGGTCCCACGTTCCTGCCCGTCTCATGCCCCGATGCCTGCCGTCCCCGTGGCACCAATGGTGCCGACCGCGTAGTCAACCATCCAGCGCCGGTGATGTCGTGAAACGAGGGACAACCGCAGTCAACCGACCGTGGTCCGCTGACCGCAGGACTAACCATCGGCAACCATGCATCCCAGAACAACTTCCGTTTCCTTCTATGTTCTGTTCGCTCCTTCAATTTACAGGTCTCAGTGCCCCTACGAATACAGAGTCCACCGAGCAGACGGTACCGCAGGCAGCAGCAGGACCGCCGTCATCGGGTCCTACATCCACGTCCACGCAGACACCTTCTACAGAGGCAACACGGGCAGCGACTCCCGCCGGCCCGCCCGGTCCCACAGCTACCGCTGGCGAAGCCGACAGCAGCGGTCAGGATGCCGTCGTCGATGGCGGCAATGATGACCCCCCTCCTCTCAATCCACCCAAACCCAAACCGCACCCGAACCCAGAACAATCGGGGAGCAGCAGCCCCAGCGGGCCGACCAGTACTGGGCGTGCACCAGACGGTCAAAGTACACGCAGTTATGAACGTGGTGGAGGAGGTGCTGTGGCTCCAGGTAGTCCACCTGGCAGCCAGGATATTGCCAGTCCGGGCGGCGGTGACCCAAGTGCATCCTTACCCCCAGGCGGCGCACAGGATCCCAACCACGGAGAAATCCCAGCAGTTGTCACACAGAGCGGTTCAGGGCACGTTCCAGGGGGAGGTGTGTCCAATACTCCCGGTGGCCCCACTCAAAAACCTAATGACGCACCCCCACTTGTTCCCCTTCTCCGTTCGAAACCCTTCGACCCCAAGGATCTCATCCCCTATACCCCCGCGCTCCTTCCCGCGGTGGTTGGTACTGCGATCATTGCCTTTTTCCTATGGAAGGTAAGTATATACGGCAATCCCGGAATGTCGCATGTGCAGGATGTTTATACCGCAGAAACTCCCTACGGGCTGCAATATATGATCTTTCTAACC